TGGAAAGTAGAGGCTTACAGGGAGGGTACCTTTACTCATGTCTTTTAAGTCCTGGCTTCTGCTCCTAACTCACTGAGCGGCTTCTTTTCCCAATTTTATCTCACTGTATGCTTCAGTTGCCCATCAGCAAATAAGTCCCAGCAGTAGTTGTCTTTTCCTGAAAAAAAATTGTAAGAATAAATAACTATGAATGAAGTCTGACAGTGACTGCAGTAATCTGTTTAACATGTTTCTCTTTTGCCCTTCTTTTTTCCTCAAATGTAGGTCTGTAAGGTGAAACCTCACTTAAAATGTCACACTATGCTCCTCTTTCATCAGCTGCCAGCTTTTTGGGCAGATTAGAAGATGGCACAGTTCAGTCTTTTCACCTTCTCCCCCATAGTTGTTGTTCAAAAGCTCCATTCAGCAAAGAATCTGTGTTTTTCTCAAGGACCGCAAATGTGACTGTTAATAGTCCCTGTGCAGTGGGAAATTTATTCCCTATACCACATCTCCAGGCTTAGCCTTAATCCCATCAGCCCCAAGTGTTTAGTTTTGAAAAGCACTGTTATGTGGCTACATTATAGCTGCTGTTAATTGTGAATGGAGCTATTTTATACTCCTGGGATTTCAAGATGAACTTCAGCAGGCAATTTCAAAGAGTGATTCTTTCCACTTCTCTGAAATATTAGTTTTACACTACCTTTCTATTGCCTATAGGTGCTGGGTCAACTGGCTTAGGTCTGGACACTTAATGGGGTGACCCCAGCAGTCCCAGTCTAAATGACTCCATGAAAAAATAAGTTTTTCAACTTGCACACTTTTCACTTTTTCTGAAAAGAGATGTGGATCACCCAAACATCTTTGTCATTTCAAATTATTCAGCAGCAGAGACTTTACAAAACAAACATGTTGTAAATTTGATTGGAAACTCAGAAATCATCATTTTAACTACTGTTTTCTTTGCTTCCACTTTCTACAGCAGTTTTATAGTTGCAGGAACATAATTTTTATTATTGGGTTCCTGAGAGCAGTGAATAAGTGTTTAAGGATTTTGAGACTTGCAATCTTTTCTACTGCTACAGAACACTTAGGAAGAATAACAGTGAACTCACAAAATGCTAATATTTGTATTGCCAGTGAATTGTGACCTAAGAATTTGCAAATAAACTCCTTGAGATTTTTTTTATGTCAATTGCAAATGCACTTGCAGAAGTATATATGGAAGAGTAGGAACAGAAAAATGGAGAATTACTTAATTAAATTCACATACAGATCACTTTTTCATTTGAAATCTAATAGAAGAGCAACAGTAGTGGGTCAGAACAAAGGTCCATGCAGCCCAACACCCCATTTTGAAAATGAACTAGTAGAAGGAAGAGCACAAGCATTTGGCAAGTAGCTCCCACTAACATCTAGCAGTCTGAGATCCCTTCAGTTCCCTGACTAGAAATGTCTATCACCTCTATGTTAAAGAGCTATCAATGGCTTCATGAACTGGCCCGATTTTTTAAGAGTCCTAATCTATTCAGATATTTACCAATATAATTGATTATCCTTGTTGCCCTTCTATGTACCCTTTACAGTTATTCGCAGACTTTTCTAACTATTGCTGATCGTTTTTTTCCACAGTACCATTGCACAAAAATCTTGTTCCCATGTGATAATGTTCAGCTTTGAGCATATTATTCGATATGAAAAGCTACAGTTGATTTTTAAAAAAAAAAAAAAGCATCACCTCACTTTTCCTACTTTGAATTTCACCTGCCATTTTCAGAGCCATCACAGAGTATTACATGGTCTTTGCAATCAGTTCTCCACTATGTACACTGTCACTTTTGATATTTTTTTTCTGGAGGTCCCTGTAAGACTCACTGGTGTTCTGCCTCCATGGTGAACCCCGATTATACTGACAAGAAACTGTCTTAACTTCTGGTTAGTTTCTATCGAGCCCTTGATGAGGGACCATGTTGATGCACATGCACGCTGTCTCTCTTCAGAGAATACATCCATAGGTTGGTTTATGTTATTTACATAATCTTTGCATGGTTTTCTCTTTTGCTTCACTATCTCACTATCTTTTTACTGATGAGTTGACTTGAGGCAAATCTTCTGACATATGACCATAAGAAAGTCTGCTGACATAGGACCATTCCCACATGTCCCCAGTGAACACAGATAATAATAATAATTAAAAAAAGTATTTCTGCTTATATATTAAGATCTTCTAAGAAAAGATCCCAGATCTGATTCTCTACACACTCTATTCACATCCAGGATGGCAAAGTAGTCATATTTAAAATATAATAACCTTGCACATTTTAGATAAAATATAAGCAAGTCCAGCACTTAAAAATTTATAGTGCATGGCCATGATGAACTCCAATTTTTCTTCACAACCACCTAAAATTATTTGTCAAATTTTTAAATTTTTCATTCTGATACTAATTTGGTAGTTAAAATATTAACACAACTATAACCGTCACCTATTTTACATGGCTTTGTACTGTTTGCACAGTGACACACCCCAAGCAATTTAGATGCAGTTACTCACAACTGATGTCCTGCAAATATTGAGAATATGCATAACTTTACAACTGTAAACTGGCACACTGAATTTGAATAAAACTATTGAGCTTGTGAGTTTTTCTTTATCCTATAATGAATCTCACTGAAAAATTTTAAGCTTATTTGTAGTCAAATAACTTTAGACATAATTGATTATGGTTTGCAGAACTATTTTTTGTGTCAGGTAACATGGTATGTTTGTAATCGTAATTTAATCCAGCATAGTCAGATTCCATCAAGGAGGTTTTTGAATCGCTGTGCCTATTTTCCAGGTCTCACATGTCAAAGCTGCAGGTATATCAAAGAACTTCATTGTGCTACATAAATTTCTAAAGACCTTTTTGTCATATTTCAAGGAGTTCCCTCAGAAGATTATACTATGTAGACTAAGTATCTTCTTTTCCAAATATCTTTGCTTTTATGTCTTGAAATGCCAGATGGATAAGCTAAATATATTGCCTTTCAATGGTCAGTGAAAATTATGTAGAAATAGGTAAATCTGGCAAGGAGTTTTCAAAAGAATATAGGAAATCATGATACACTGTACCCTACATGCAGTAGTCTAGTGTTATTGAGGTAAAACTGAGTGGATTTTCAATTCAGGGATCTTATCTGACACATTTCACCCTGTTGGTGCCTCACAGGTTTTCAGCTAGAACGATTTGTTTCCCTTCATTTGATAGCTTCTGAAAAATATGCCTTTGTGTGCTTTTCTCTACACATTATAAAGCTTGATAAAACCTTTAGATTAGAGCAAGTTTTTGAAGGGATTACTTACTAATGGTTGTACTACTTTGATATGCATTGCTATTGGAAGCAAGAGCGAGTATGCTGTATTCCTCAATTGGAGGAATGTATTTATTTTGTTTTTAAGATGAAGAAAATGAAAAGGTATCAAAATCCGTTTGGGGTTTCTGATTTCCATGCTCTCCGTGAAAGGAAATACCGCCCATAGATGGCACTGTGGTCCTGTGACCCGGGGCTTATTGATGTCTGTGCAGCTGTGCCGCGCTGTATGCGCTGCTGTGCCTGTGAGCTGGCCCTTGCAGGGCGCTCTCACTCTCTTCCTCAGCTGGACAGGGAAGAGAACACACAACGAAAGATTCGTGGGTCGAGATAAGGTCAGGGAGACATCACTCACCAGTTACTGTCATGGGCAAAACAGACTCGACTTGGGCAAATTAGTTTAATTTATTGCAAATCGAATCAGAGTAAGCTAATGAGAAATTAAAGCTAAATCTTAAAGCATCTTCCTCCCCCCCCTTCTTCCTGGGCTTGACTTCATTCCTGATTTCTCTACCTCCTTCCCTGCAGTAGTGCAGGGGAACGGGGAGTGGGGGCTGCGGTCAGATCACCACACATTGTGTCTGCCGCTCCTTCCTCCACAAGGGGAGGACTCCTCACACTTTCCATGCTCCAGCGAGGGTCCCTCCCACCGGAGACGGTCCTCCAACATGAGAGCTTCCCATGGCCTGCAGTTCATCAACTGCTCCAGCGTGAATCCTCCACAGGGTCACAAGTTCTGTCAGCAAATCTGCTCCAGAGTGGGCTCCTCTTTCCACTGGCTTCCCACAGGTCCTGCCAGGAGCCTGCTCAAGTGCAGGCTTCCCACGGGGTCACAGCCTTCTTTCAGGCATCCACCTGCTCTGGTATGGAGTCCTCCATGGGCTGCAGGTGGGTCTCTGCTCCCCCGTAGACTCTCATGGGCTGCAGGGGCACAGCTGCCTCACCATGGTCTGCACCACGGGCTGCAGGGGAATCTCTGCTCTGGCTCCTGGAGCACCTCCTGCCCCTCCTTCCCCACTGACCTGGTGTCTGCAGGGCTGTTTCTCTCAAATATTCTCACTCCTCTCTCTGGCTTCAGTGGTGCAGTTCCACATACCCCACCACCACCCCTGCCCCATCTTAAATCTGTTATCCCAGAGGGGGTATCAACATTGCTTCTGGGCTTGGCCTTGGCCAGTTATGGGTCGGTCCTGGGGCCAACTGGCATTGACTGTGTCAGGCATGGGGGAAACTTCTGGCAGCTTCTCACAGAAGCTTCCCCACTGCTAAAACCTTGCTATGCAAACTGATACAGCTGCTTATTAATATGAAACTTATAGTCCTACTTCTTAGTGAAATAAATTTAATTGGCTTATTACTATTGCAAATGTGCTGTTTCTGAGACTGAAATGTTTTTAGCTCTTTGTACTTACCTAAAGAGTATACCACTTCAGTAGAAGAATGGCTGTCCTTGGAAAAAGAGAATTATTACAATGGCTCATTTTGGACCAGTTTAATGAGACAGTTAAATTCTGCAACATGCAGAATTTCCTTTTGTCCAGCAAAATATTTAAAATTACTTTAGCCTTCGGCAGATATTGTACTGAGTATTTGTGGAAAAAATAAAACCAAACCAAGTTAGCTACTTAAGACAAACCTCCAGTTTATAAAACAACTGATGGCATTTAAATATTTTAATCTGCTTTACTAGCAGTGGGATCTGACAAAACAATAAAGCATTGGAACACCATTTTACATTAACATTACAAAATACAGCAAATGTTTTTCTCTATGTATTTACATAAGCAAACATATATGTATTCAAAATAGAATGCATCTCACTGTCTGGCAATAATTATATAAGTACAGTGCATGGTTGATTGGATGGGATAGATACATAGGAATTTTTACCCTGAATTGTATAAAGGATGCACACCAGCTTAGGAGATACATGGTGAGCTTCATGTCTTTGGACATTTTTCAGATACAGTCTTAACAGTAATAAAATGTCAATCTACTTGAAAAATTGTTGGTTAAAATTTTTTTCAGATGAAGTGGGGTTTTTTGGATGCAGATATGACAGACTGACTCAGCATGCTTTTTCTGTGAGGTAGGGGATGGCCCTAACCCTCTGAACTAATCTGTATGAATGAATGTTTTCTCTTTTTTTTTTTTTTAACTGAAAAATTATAAAAATTTCCGTTCCAGTCTGATGCGTAATGAAAACATTCACATTTTTTTGCAAGATAGAAGTCTTGTTCTGAAGCTGGTCATGCTAAACTGTGGTGTTCATCCCAAGTGCGGGCCCAGTGCTGTAAATCCTGGTTTAAAACAGCTGAACTTTGTCATCTGTCTGCAGCATAATGAATCTATTAATTGCTATCTACTGATGAACAACCTCCTGCAGATCTGGTATGGCGCCTAGAACAAATTCAGATCCTGACTGTCATCCTCACTAAGGCAAACTGCACAAAAATCCATTAACATTTTGGTGCAAGATGGCAGAATCAGGCTTCACTAAACTGTCAAAAATGTCCACAAAGAGCTGGAGATATTGGTCTTTAACTGCTGTGCATTCTTGGCTTTGAGAGGCTTCTCAGGCAAAAGCTGGTGATCACTCAATAAAACCTCCTGAGTGCTCAAAGAACCAAAATGTCAGGCATCAGTTATCCCTGTTTCTAAGCAAAAGATAAGTGTTACGCTATCTCCAGCTGTCAATTAAAGAAATGCTGTCAATCCTCTTAGGTCCAAAACATAGGTTTTATTTTAATAAGCTGGAAAAAAATGATTGTTCAGAGTCATTTTCTAATGAAACCTCAAGCCAGTAATTGAAACTCTCTCTGATTGTAGTGAAGTATTCCCTGTCAGTATTTGCAACCTGAGCAATTTGACATCGTGGAAGAGGAACAGAAGGTGAAATGAAAGAGAAATGGTGAGCTGAGCTGCTCTGCCACATGGGTGAAATGCAGACAGTAAGCGGAGAGCATAAGCTGTGATTGTTAAATGTTCAATAACAGTTTACCAAGTGCAAGCTGGTGAAGGAGGCTGCGCAGACCAGCAACTGGAGCCTCAGGAGTCTTGGGAGGAATTAAGCCCTGGAGAAGCGCAGGGCCATATGCATCATACAGTATGCAGGTAGGCTTTGTTCCCTGGCACAAATGGGCAGTAAGACACAAAAGCTGGCTGTCCCATCTACTTCTTTCTCTTGCAAGGCCAGAGAAACTTGCATCAAGACAGACACAAAATGTGGCAATTCCCTCCACTAGTGGAAGCCTCTGTGTTTCCTCTCCTCTCACACACAAGTTTAAAGGCCTTCAATCCCCTATCATCATATGAAGGCAATCTGGTTTGGTGGCAGATCTTGAGCCTCAGACCTCTACTCACAAAAGACCTTTGGTTTTATTACTTCCTACTTATTCCCTGAGGTGCCTGTTCCCAGGGGAAAGCCATTAATGACCGCGAGCTGATAGATGACACGCATCACTGCAACGGGGCTACAGCATGACACTTAGACCCAGAGAGGGAGGCTGAGGCCTGAGGAATGAGTCAGTGTCACCATAGGCATGCAGAGCTCCTGTATGACCAGTGCATGGTGGCTCTGACTATCCCAATTTGGAGGAAAGGGCTCATAAAACTATCAGATTTAGGTATACTGTATAACAACAAAATTGGTTTCTTTGAATTTGGTCAAATACCCAGCCAGCTTTTAAGATCTTGTCTCCCACAGATCAGTATCTTAAGCTAAAAACTTCTTCCGAAGACTCCCAGCTAGTAGTCTACAATCAGATTCAGTTTCTCTCTGTCCTTCTCTTTCTTTGACTTAGTGGAAATTTAATTGTTCTGTGAAAACTGAAAACTTCAAGGGAAGGACTGATAAAGGTATTGGAGTTTGGTTTCTGGATGGGCAGTGTTTTTTCCAGAGAAACTGGAATACATCCTGGTTCTAATGAGATTATGGCTGCAAAATTTATGGAATGAATCAAATGCTTGGATTTAAGTTTTGTCAGTGAATGCAACATTTATATTTCTTCTCTGTAGCAAAGTCCCACTGGCTTCAGTGACATTGGCTGTGATGCCCAAAAGAAAGGAGTTTGTTGACTAGGTGTGTCTGTCAAACAATGTTCTTTATGGAATGTATTGTGCCCTTGGAACTATGCAGGTGGAATACAGTGCCACTTGGAAGTCCTGTTATATTTCAAGAGAGCCCCATTTGCCCATAAATATTTCATTAAGGCTGAGTCCTAGTAGTGCAAGTTACTGACCATTCCTGAGCAATCTGCCTTAACAGCAATACAGCAAAACTAGGGAAAACAATTTTTAGCAACTAACAGTTTTCTAATAATTCTGGCCCTACAAATCCTAAAACAAAACCAGAAGGACATTCTTCAAAATGGCCTTTTTAAACCAAAAACAATGAGAAATGGTCTGCTGCAACCTTTTACTGAAAGCTTTACTCATGCAAAACTTCCTCTGACATAACTTAAATCAGCCTTTGTTAGAATTGAACAGAGGCATGGACCTGGAACAGTTCCTGAAATTATTTAGCAGTGTTGTGCCTGGTTTTCCAGTCTTCTCTCACTTTACCTCCCTGACAACACCAGTGGGAAGGAGCAGGGAATCAATCCAAATAGTTACTTTTGAAAATATTACTTTCAACTTTTAAGCTGAACACATGAAACACGAACACATGAAATTTTTGAACGGAAATAAAGTACAATACATAAAATAAAGATTACAAATGGTGGTAGAAACAAAGGATCATTTAAGTATAATTTCTCTCTGAAGATTCCTAACTTGAAATACAGAACAAATGGCAGAAAAGCCCAGTGACATTTCAGAATGGTTACTCAGAAGGAAAAAATAACCATAAAACAGTTAAAAAATGCCCATATAATTAATCTATAGCAGTTTTAATAGATTTTCTTTAATAGTTTAAAATTTATTTAAAATATATATTAGCAAATTAACCATAATTTTATTCAAAATTTGGTAAAGTGCTCATCCAGTTAATGATAACAAAACTCGACTGTAGCAAGACAAACTAGCTGGAGCCTATTCTGCAAGAACATCAAAGGACAGCTTAGCTTTCATTTGCAAAGAGAAAAGAAAGGCGTAAGTTTCTTCACAGCCCATATTATAGTACCAGAAATTGCATTTTTTCTTTAAGAAATATATCCTTTAGAATATTAAAAAAATAAGTTTAATAAAGCCTGTGCTTAAAACAGCCAAAGTACTGTATGAAAAAAATTTGCACATTTGATACCATTAAAACCCTGTTTTTCATCCACAGGGTAATATGAGGAGTATATGATGTTATTGGAAAGTCTCTTGAACAGGGCTGATTTTCCTAAGCTATCAGAGCTTCTCCCAGCCAGGTGAAATTTTCAGCAAACGCACGGTGGTTGTCATGGCAGCTGCCAACCATCACACACCACTAACCTTTTCGTTCCCTGGGCTGATACTTCCCTTAGAGGTACCATCCAAATGATGTATTCCTATTGTGACCATTGAGTAATCCTTAGCCATCATTTTTGCCTCCTTTTTCAAACTCTTCATTTGTGCTAGCTGGAGCTGGCTGGAATCATATGCAAGTGCTGGGATAGTGTTCACTAAAATCAGCTGGAAAGGTTTCTTCTCCTCCTTGTAGCGACACTGAATGTAACGAGAGAAAGCTGAGCGGTAGGTTTTATTGAACAGTGTATATACGAGTGGGTTGACAGCTGAAGAAAGGTAACCAATCCAAACAAATATGTTAAGGAGTCCTCCAATGACTTTTTCACTGCATGACTCCTTGCAAATTACAGCCATCACATTGGTGATGAAAAATGGACACCACATCACAACAAACAGAAAGAAGACAATGCCAAGAACCTTGGAAGCCTTCTGCTCATTGCTGATGGATTGCATGGTTCTTCTCCCAGAAGTCCCCATGTCTCTGTTCAAGGAGCGCTGAAAGAGTTTTTCTGAGGACAGGGAACTCTGAGGGAGGAAGCTAAATGAAGCAAACTTGGTCTTTGGGCCAATGTCATCCACACATAGCATAGCTTCCTTCTGCAGCGACTTGATGGTTAAAAAGTAAGTGACTACCATGATGGTCAGAGGGATGAAGAATGCCACAAAAGAACCTACTAGAACAAAATTCTCATCTGCAAGTAAGCAGCTGCAATTCTTAAACACTTTAGATTTATCTTGTAGTCCAAAGACGGGTATAGGCATGGAGATACCTGAAGGTGGATCAGAGAAAGAAGAGATTAAACACAATAATGAAAAACAACATTTCCGGTCTCCAAGAATAAAATAAACAAACATCTACCTGTGTTTTACCTCTGGCTGAGGTGATCTTAGCATATTATCTCAGCCACAGGCAGAATACATTTGTTTACATCCAACTGTCCCATGACACACGGTAGCCACAAAAGCATAACTCCTTAAATTCTTGGATTTTGTCCCCTTATAATGATCTCCAGACTTGCGTCTTGGTTCCTGCCACCTTTGCAAAGGCTTTTATGAACTATGATCAAGATGATACTGTCTTTCTTTTCTGAAGTGACTTAAGAGTGATCTTGGACTGTTTCACAGTAGAGAATTAGAACTGTTCTGGCACTGGTTTCTGTGTAGGCTGGGAAATTCTGGTGTCAGGAAAAAAGATAATTTTTTATAGTATGTCTACGAGTAATCTTTCATTGTAATCTTCTCTTCCTGTAATCTCCATACAGTCAATGTAGTCTAAATGCTAAAAAAAACTTTCCATGGCAATGGAAATGGCAATGAACAATGGGGACAAGTTAAGCCCTGAGAGACACCAATATGAGGCAGCCTGAGATGTGGTTTCCCTTCAGAACTGCAAAAGTCCTTTCACAGTATTGCCAAATGCTAGAGCTTGCCCTCTCAACACACAGCTATGCAAACTTTGTCTTTCCCTGGAGCGTGTGCTGCATCCTTGCCTTGTCATGGATGGTAAGGCAAGGGGATGAAGTCCATTCTCCTTGGACTGCTCTGTCTGCTTCAACCTACTCAGTCATTTCCTCAGAGACTTCTGCAAATGCTGGTACTGCCTGGGCAAAATCAAACAGCTGCTGTTTCTTTGCTTGTTCTTTTGGGCTTTTTTCAGCATTTGTCTCTTCCCCTCCATGCTTCTCTTGATGAGAGGCAGTGTTCAGACAGTGACAGGGATGATGTGCTGTGAAGACAGCAGAAGTGGAGTTGTGAAGCAGGGGGTGATAATGCAGCCCTGTTTGGATAAAAGCAGTTAGGAGTCTGATTCCTGTGGAAAGTTAGCATAATCTGGGAGCTTGGGTTCGATTTGCATTTTTTAACAGAAATCCCAGTCGTTGTATTTGGCTTATGAGGAAGAAAAACATTAATTAGAGAAGAATTTTTTATGATGTGAGGAGGATGATGTGCCCTACTTTGTTCAATGTATGCCCAAGAATGTCCCTACTGGTTCACAGATGAGTTCTGAAACATCAGCTTTTCAATGGAACCTCCCTCTACCTCTCTTTCCCTTCTTCCCACTCTGGTGCTTAGGCTGGGAGCCCTTTAAAAGCATAAGCTATCTCTTCATTTCACACACTTCCAGTGCCCAGGGCAACACCTCCAGTCCTAGAGGAAGGCTGTGGAGTACAGGCTCAATACAAAAAATAATAATGACAGTAATAATATTAGACTATTATTCTTTTCAAATGCTTCAGTCTTTTGGTGCTTCTGGAACTTCTACAAAGACCTTTATTTTTCTAAGAACACTGTAGCGTAATTTATCTTTGCAACTTTGAATTGAGTCATGGCAATGTCTCAGGCCAGTTTAGAAAAGTGCTGCTCTACTGCTCTTATCTGCCCAGGGCAGAAGCTGGTGGAGAGCCTGTGGTATTACCCTTTCTGCTCCTGCTGCACAAGCTCTAAATGCTTGAACTTGCACTAGGAGAAGCCGGTGGCTAATATGCAAACTTGTGCAGTGTGTGGCACCTTCTGAGTTGAGCTGACAGAAACTTCAAGTGACTCCAGGAAAGCTTCTGGCTAAAAAGGTCAAGTTAATCTGACTGACAGCATGGAGGAAGAGGTCACCTGCAGGAAGCCAGACTGCCCAGCTGCAGCTGAGTAATCTGTGTTGTTGAGCACCTCCAGGGAAATGAGGAATGCTTTGAAGTTCCTTTTCTTTTTTAGGATGAGTTGAAGGGGTGATGAAGGCACACAGTGCCTTCCAGCATTAAACTTCAGCTGCATGAAGACACAGCATTAGTCAGAGCAATACTACAAGTTTCCAGTCTGCTTCTGCCCTGTGCTGATAACAGCAAGGCTGTTTTTATATTTCAGTCAAAGACCTAGTGTGAACTGCAGAGATAAAATAAACAATGGTATTGACAGAGTTAAAAGATGCCTTTCATTACTACCTTATGGTTCAGCTGCATGAGGAGGCCAGTGCAGAGGCAGCAGCACTAGAAAGAGGAAAATTTTAGCATAATTGCATGCTTTTTCAAGTGAAGGGCCTAAGTCAGTTACAACTCCTCACCTGAAACACAAGAGCAGCAAATCCCCAACTGCTTTGTTTTGTTGTTAGCAGCTTCTGGAGACTGGCATCTAAACCCAGATTGCTGGCTTTAAAAAATGGAAATGAGCTTCAGCTTGCAGCTGAAGTCTCCACATTTCCTTGTCATTCCATTAACAAGCACAAAAGTGCTGCACCCATCAGAGCTGTAGAAGGCATTGCTAGTCATGTAAATTTTTCTGAGTGACCATTCAAGGCATCTTTCCCCTACAGCCACAGGTAAGAGGACTGTATAGTTTGAAAACAGCAGAGGTACCACGTTTCGGTGGCAAAGAACATTAACAGCTGTAGCCTGCTTTTTGTATACACCCCAGTTCAGCTGATGCAGGGGATCCCACAAATTATATCGTGGCATTCCTGCATGGAATAAATAAACTTCCAGCCCATTTTTCTGTTTTCCTATCTCTACAGGGACTAAACTTACTGCTCCCTTCCTGAAAGGAGCAGAGTTTGTCCCTCTTCAAAAGGTGGTCTTTGGCTTCTGCAACATGAGTATAGCAAATCCCATGAGGACCCAGGGATCAAATTCAAAGGCAGTCATGTTTAAACTGTAAATAAAGGAGCTTCCATGTGCAATCCACATCCACTATTATGATAGAATTTTTAGGAAGCATCACATATGGCCAAGAATATCACCCACACGTCACTGAGGTTTGGTCAAGATCAAACCTGTAAATCCGTAACAAAAAGTCCTGGTATAAGTTGCATTAACATTGTTGCAGCTGACCAAATGAATTCTTTGAAAGTTGAAGCTCAGTGATGTATTTCATCTTGTTGTTTCAGAAGTATAATTCCTCGTTGGTTTATGGTCCTTGCTTTCCAACTCCCTGCTCTTGGTGACTGTAGATGTTTGAGAAGATACAGATGGTGCCTGAGCATTCAAATGTCATAAGAAGGAAATAAGCTTCACAAGAAAGGGTCATGCAGTGCTACCAGGTAGGGACAAACACATATTTGGGAAATGGAGCATGTGCAAACAGAAGATCTGGATGAAAGAACTTGATAGGGCTGTAACAGAACAGCTATTCCACACCCTGCCCATTCCATGTTCCCAGCTCCCCCCAGCCCAAAGTCAATCTGGAAAAAACCTAGTTATCCCCTGAGGGCTTTTTTACGGTTTATCTTTCTTGGCTTCCAAAACAAACTAAACTGAGGCACGAGGAAGCATTCAGCACAGAATGGGAGCATCCATCCAAGCCCTGAAGGTACATTAGCTACTCCATTTCCAGTTGACATTCCCACTTTAAACATTTTCCCTTGTGGACAAACCCTAAATATTATGTTCCTCTGGTACAAGGTGGTTTATTTATACAGCTTGATTTATACAAGGTGGCTGTCTCAAACTAGGGATTTTAATAAACCACACAACAGATCCCAAACAATAAAGAGCAGTAATAAATCCTGCATTAAACCTCAAGCATTTGGGCACAATTTCAGAACGACAAAAGGCTCTTGAAAACACCAAAGGTTACGAAGTAAAGCAATGGCATCCTTCTTTTTGTTCTCTCAAAAAGCCTGGTAAAACTGACAAAGGTTGATTTAGTGGAACACATTGCTGACTTCAGAGGTATACAACAGCCAGAAAACCACTTTAGCTGGACAGGTAAACTGGGTTTGCAGCTGCCTTGAGCTGCTGAGGCTGTCAATAAATTAAAGCTAGAATTTACAATATGCCCTGCAGGATGGCACACTCGTGTTACTTAGGGTGAACTGATAAGGTCAAGGTTCCCTCTGTGAAGTCTCCTTCAAGCAGAAACTGTCAGTCACATGCTTTCACCTCACATATATCCATTTCAAATTATTTTAATTCAAATGAGCCTTAATACCGTGTGCCTTAATACCATGTACCTTGATAAATGCCCAAGGGATAGAAATCACCTTTTTGAAACGTCATTACAGTTTCTCGATAAAATTTGGCACCTTGGTTCACCTTCTCATGAAAAAAGAAAAAAACCTCCCCATCTGAAGTTTTAGCACTCACATTGATTCAGACATACAGGTTACAGGCCAGCTCATGGGCCACTGCACAGAGATGTGCTGTGACACTGAATCTGAAAGGATTTCTGCTTGGAGAAACCGGTCTCTCCTTCAAGCAGCTCAACGTGGCAATACTGTCTGATTTCTTTATAAAGGCCCATGCCCAGTATCTGATGCCTTTTTGTAGTCAGAAAATGTCATCCTTTGGTACATCTACACATTCAAACAACAAACAGTAGTCCATGTACACTCGCCTGCGACATCCCAAGTCATACAAGGCATATTCTCAGTTTCACGTTGTATAAAAATTTCCTTGTTGCACACTGCCATCATATTATTTTCGATATTTTTTACTTAAATAACCACACAAAATAGTATTTATTCATTTGGGCTGCCATGGTGTGTGTTTGCTTGCTCTAGGAACACAAGCCACAGTCAGTCACTTGCAGAGGGAGGACCATGGACCGTGTTCTCTCCTGAGTATCCAAGATGTAAATATGCCTCAATCTTATATCAGGAGCTGGAGTTTAACCACAGCTACTTTCATTTAAACATCTGCAGAAGAGCCACTCAATCTGGCTCCATGTCTCTGCTTGGTGTTTGGCACTCACTAGTGTGGGAGTCATCATTTCCCCAGAGCTGCAAACACTTAGCTGTTTTTTCTGCATGCACCTGAAAATGTTCCCAATCAATTCCTTTCCAGTC